AGACATAAGCACTCCAAAGTTCCTATCAGCATTTTCATGTGTTTGACACAGCTCCATGCACATAAAGCACAGAAAAATTTACATAGCAATGAACAAAGCCGAAATCCAGAATTAACAAAAGCATTCTCTATTACTGAGAAGACAATCTTTCCTAAAGAAGGGAGTTGGGTAATAAAGACAAGAAGACATGAATCACAGGCTATTTTCAGAAGAATACACACAGCAATGCTGAATCATACTATTTTTCATTTCTAATATTATGCTAGATGAAAAGAATTCTATTTATCCTTTCTAGCATAGAACGATATATTGGCATAGAATTCTGGATCACTGTACTTTTGTTTTTGAAGGAGGTCCCTGGCCTACCTTTGATCAGCCTTGGAACTGGTAGGAAAAATGTCCTCTTCATCAGATTCATCCACCTCAATAGTCTACAGAAGGGAGGAAACAAAGCAACGAGTTCATACCAACATATGAATTAATGATAAAATATCAAGACGCACATGTAGATATGTATACAGACAAACTACACAAACGCCTGCGATCAGCACAAAGCTCAGCCATGTGTGTGTGTGTGTGTGTGCGCGCGCGCGCGCGTGTGTGTGTGTGTGTGTGTGTGTGTGTGTGTGTGTCTCAGTGGTAGAACAATGTCTAGCAGTGAGGTCTGATGTGTGTGTGTGTGTGTGTGTGTGTGTGTGTGTGTGTGTGTCTCAATGGTAGAACAATGTCTAGCAGTGAGGTCTGATGTATGTGTGTGTGTGTGTGTGTGTGTGTGTCTCAGTGGTAGAACAATGTCTAGCAGTGAGGTCTGATCTCCAGATCAGGGAGAAAAAGACCCACCAAGGCCCCTCTTCCTTCATAAATGTAATTCACTGCTCCAAGGCCCACTTCTCTTCAAGCAATCACGAGCCAGGGCCCCTAAAGGACACAGAATGCCGAGTGGCTTACACAAGGGCTAATACATCCCTGCCCTGCAGCTTTCTTCTAGGTTCTGATAAAGTGATGGACTTTCGGTATTTCAGCTCCAAGATTTTCTCTTCTTAAGTAGCCCAGGCTAGTTTCAAACTTGCAATCTCCTGGCTTCTGCCCACTGAGTGCTGAGATTTTTGATTTGTGCTACCAAACCCACTTATCAGATCCAATTTTAAGTAAGGTATCAGATCAGGAAGTAGCAGATAGGCAGATATTAAGTGTTAAGAGCCAGTAAAGATATACATAATTGTATCATGCTCTATGTTTTGTGTTATCTTGACATGTGACAGGTATGTGCTGTGTTTTCACCTAACTAGAGTGCAGATGAGGAAGGAACCGAGGACAAAATTCTAAAGAGCAGCACGCAAGGTCAAGGGCTCTGCTCCACACCTGCAGGGCACAGGATGTACCTTCCCCAAGCAGAACTACCTGGCACAGGAAGAAGCGTTAGGACTTAAGATACATGGATTCGGACAGTGAGACAGCAGATCAGACCTGTCCCGAATTCTCTCTCAGAATCCCAAGGAGCAGCAAGGCCCATGTTAAGTCTGTAACGGGCACAAGGGTCCTGAGACTTTGGTCTGCTCAGTCTTTAGTCCCCACCAGTATGAAAAGAGCACCTCCACCTGAGGAACACACCTCTGTGTCAGGGTGTAAAGGTAGGGCCTTTAGTTCGGCACTGTTGCCCTTTAAAATACTACCATACACACAAAACTAATGGAGTTCTAATAATGTGAACCATTGGGTTTTGCTGTTGGTTTTAAATGAGCCTAAACAATCATCAAGTTCTCACCAGTGTTGATGTTCACACTTCATCCCCATTAGGAACTCCATAACCCAGAAAATAGATTATTAAAATCAAATCTCCAGCAGTTTTCTTACCTCTGAGTAATTCTTCGTGGTAATGTTTCTGGAAGGCTGCTGTCGAGTAGATCTGAAAGCTATCATGGAAAAGATGAAATGTCTGTTACAAAGTTCTTAAAATAACTCAAAAAAAAAAAAAATCTGCTCACTTCCTCAGCTGAAGGATTTTAAAGTCCTACCTACAAAAACCTGGACTGATCAACTAGAAAACCATTTATATTCTGGAGTCTGAAAAGCTGTGAGACGATATCCACTTGAAGAACACAGAGTCCGCCTATCTATCTCACATTTTCCCAGCTTGTTCAAATACAGTAACAAGCAGGATTCATACATACACTCGCATTAGAAATACTTGATAAAACACACCTGGAAGATGAAGACTTGTCACTCAGCCAAGTGAACTACACTAGCCATCCTACCCTCGCAGCTGACGCAGGTCCTGAGGTCTCATTAGCTCTCACTCCTCTCCCTTGTAGCCACACTGGGCACATGAGAACAGAGGGAGTTCAATGAGTCATATATCCTTGACACCTGATAAAACTTCCCTTAAACCCTTACATTCTGCTTTACAGAAACCTGAGGTGTGGCTAACCTGTCCCCTTCTTGTCACTTGACATCAAAACTTTCAATCGATCCAAACACCTGGCTGAGGTCTGTTTTCTCCTAAGCACATCCAACACAGCTTCTCCAACACACCTTCCACTCTCAACGGGGCAAAGACAGCCATTTAAAAGGCAAGGTATCCTTCAGAGTGGAGTCTTTCTACCCAGCCCAATGTTATTACTGCTCGAGCTTCGGACCTCACACTCCTGTCAGATCCTGTGCTGAGAGGAAGGTGAAAGGCAGACGCCCACGTCCCATCTGCTCACTGGCCTCACCCCATGTGCTAAAATGGAGAAACAGGGCAAACGAACAGAAAGCCGGGGAGCATGGTGCTTTCAGAGAAGGCTCTGTCAGTACCTACTAACAGTCCCCAAATCCTGAGGGCCTGGAAATTCAGAAAACTTTCTTTTGATCCCTAGTGTACAGCAAAGGATGAAGGATGCTTATGAAACCAGTAACGTACCAAAGACACACTAGGCTTTGTAATGAAGGCCATGTGCTTCAGCAGTTCAGAGGTCTGGCCATGGAGCCGGACCCATTCTGACTTCCAGCCGCAACTACTGCCAGGTTCCTTGGCTTATTCGAGTCTCATTTTCCCCACCTGTAAAGCAGTGCCAGTCTCTCACACTGAAAACCGCTGAGAGGATAAAGAGGTGCTTAATGCAAATTGCTTTGGCAAGCGCCTGGCAGGAAGCAGGCGTCCATACACAGAGCTATTGGCATGAGAACGAACAGGGGCTCAGGGCAGTAAATCACACAGAAAGGCGGTGGCCACGTGTGTTTATCTGCTCAGTCACCATCCTCTGCTGACTGACTTCCGGGAAAACATCTGGCTGCCAACTCTTATTTATAGCATTTAATTTCTTCTTTTCCCAACGGTAAACAATCTTGTGTTCCGTGGAGCTCGCCTAATTTCACCTGTCCACTGCTATGCCTACAGTGGACATCTAGAAGGACAATTTCAAGGATGCATCTTCCTGGGGTGCTGACAGCCAGCACCTCCAGGTTAAAAACACCATGTACATATATATATATACATGTAACCATTAATGAAAAAAATTTGAAAGAACATGACGGGGTACAGGGGAGGGTTTGGAGGGAGTAAAGGGAAGGGTGAAATGGTGTATTTATAACAAAAAATAAAAGAAATAATTGAAAAAAACATGGAAGATAGAAATATGAAAAAAAATTCACCAAACTTAATGTGATAAAACCGTTTTGTGTATCCATGCTAAAAAAATCAGTCATGTCTCGAGGAACAAAGGAGACTAATGGGATCGAGGAGGGTGACAAGGAGGTGGAGGCGGGGGATGTGCTGAACAGCGAGACAGGGGTTCAAGAGCCCAGCAGAGTATCTGAGAGGTGACAGCTAAGGCTTTTCTAGACACAATGAGACACCTCTCTATGAGCTCAATGAGTCCTAAACAGGATAGAGAAGAACACCATTTAGATTTCATCGCAAAACTGCACAAGACCAGAGACAGGAGGCTGAGGGAAGGAGAGGTTACTAGGAAAAGGCAGCAAGCTTAAGTAAGAGCTGATACCTTAGCAACAATGGAAACATACACACAAAAAGCACTCTCTTTCTGCATGTCACTGTTTCCTTTTTTTTTTTTTTTTTTTTTATGCAGCAATAATTTTTTTCTAAGTGCCTACTGGTGCACCAGGCGTTGGGATCCAACTGTTTTCCCAGGCAGGTTTATCACCTCTGCTCAGTCCCTCATGCACACTGAGAAGGTCCGAGGACATCCTATCAGGTAAGTGACTTCTGCCGCCTGCTTCTCTCATCCTCACCCACCCTCGCTGCCCTCATTTCTCTATGTATTTAGGAATCTGTCAGAAGGGAAGCTATACTGCGGAAGTTAACAATCCATTAAAAAAGTGAGAAAGCTCCAATAACTCTGATGCATGACAAAGATTTCTCAGTTTTTCATTTTGTATTCTCAGTAGCATAGAGATCTACTAGAGCTTGGCACATGCAAGGCCATCGCTCTACTGCAAGGCAGCAGCTCCAGCCCTAAGAAATATCTCTGAAGAATAATTCACCCTGTCATCGCAACAGCTACTGACCACAGCGAATGCACTACCAGTGAGAGTCACTCACGAGTCCCCTTTACCTCTCCGTGCCGGACTTACAAACGTGTCACCACCTCTATACTCACCGTCTAGAATGGACATATTTCTAGACGTCGATGTTGTGGCCTTTGAGCCCCTGCCTCGAGCAGCCGACTCCAGCCCAGCGTCTGCAAGTAGAATCACAGGGTTCAGTAACAGTCCCTTGGCAGCTCAGGGAGCACAAGGCAGGAGGAAAGCTCAGCAACAAAGCACGCAGGAAGCCAGCAGTGTAGGTGAAGAAGCCCCAGAGCTGAGGGTCAGACTGCAGACTGAGCTTAGTCACTCTGGTCCTCCTTTACAGCTTAAGCACACACACTGTAAATGTAATGATAAAACTGATCACGGACAGATTCGTCAGAGCTCTTGGTTGGTTGGTTGGTTGGTTGGTTGGTTTTTGAGACAGGGTTTCTCTGTGTAGCCCTGGCTGTCCTAGAACTTATTATGTAGACCAGGAGGACCTCAAACTCACAGAGACCCACCTGCCTCTGCCTCCCAAGTGCTAGGATTATAGGTGTGCTCCACCATGCCCAGATCTTCAGAGCACTTATATTAAGTCACAATTTATGGTACCAGCTCAAGTCCTCACAAATATTCTTTTTAAAAATTTTTATTGATCTCTTATCTTTATGTGTATGTGAGTGTGCTTATGTAAGTTTATGTGCCCCACATGTATTAGGACCCTGTAAAACAGAAAAGGGCATAGGGTCCCCTGAAACTGGAGTTACAGACAGTATGAGCTGCTGTGTAGGTTCTAGGAATTGAACCCAGGTCCTCCAGAAGAGCAGCCAGTGCTATGAGCCCCTGAGCCATCTCTCCAGCCCTCCCATGGGTAAAGGTTCAATAAAGACAACTAAGAATTGTTCCTAGTGATAGATTTATGGATCACACAAGGAAGTCACTGGGTGGCCATGTTCTGTCATCTGGGCCACCTCAGGACAACAGTGCCAGCAATGGTAACAGTTATGCTGTGACTGCCTTTAGAAATCAAGTTGTTTAGTTATCATTTTCAAACAAGCTCCTGGAGACTCTAAGCATGTAAGTGTTTCTTCTAATAGTAGCAGTGTTTTTGTGACTGGAGCTGCAGTTTGCTAGCCATTTTCCTTCATTCCCATTGTGTCATTCATGCTCTCCATCCATGCACAAGAAGTGCACAGTGAGGTTCTTAAGCACAGCTTAGAACAACTAAAACCCTATGGTGCATGCGGCCAGTTACAATTCACCTGAGCCAAGGGTGCATGTCACAGCTGCACTATAGGCAGCTGTTACACATCAAGAAAAAAACTAAACAAAGAACTGTTTTAGAAACGAAACCTCATTCAGAATTCAAATCTGACCAAAGGACACGGTTTGGCATTCCTCTTCTAGCTTTGCAAGTCTGAAGTGTTGAAAAGCAGAGATGAATGCTGACCTCGGCCTCTCTGAGACCCTCCTCTTGGTGCAGTGCTCTGTCCTCGGCCTCCTCTTCGCCCTCGGCCTCGGCCTCGGCCCCGGCCTCTGCTCGGCACTGCTGACAGGCTGTCGTCAGAGTCATTCGCCGTCTGTTCTGTTCCATCACAACTCAGGTCATCAGCACTGAAGGCCGAGGCGGAGTTCTCTGACTGCTGCGATCTGAGGGCCCGGGCCCTGCTCATGGCCTGTGCAGCAGGGACAGCACATCAGAGGAAGCAGCAGCATCCTCCTCCCCACCACTCATCCAGGCACATGACAAGCATCCAACACTGTATACTATTCCCACCAATACTACCCTGCACACTGAGTGCTACACATTCGTAAAGGACTGTTCTACCAATCACGTTCAATTACCTGCACTACAGCCTGCAGGAGACCTCTTAGAAGGGTCCCAAGAAACTCAGTTTGTCGTCAGCACTTTCTGAACCAGAAGCCATGCTGGACATTGCTCCGCACCCTACACAATGCTTGTAGAGATGGTCATGAGCTTCGTTTTCAGAATGAATTCAGAGGAGGAAGAGGAGAGGAGGAAAAAAAAACACTTGCAGAAATAGCTCTTACCTCTGAGAGGTGAAATTTTAGGGTTCATTTATTTTCTTTCTTATTTTTGAATATGACATTTCCACCTAAAATAATACTTTTATACTCAGAGACACATGAATAATAAGTAATCATATAAATTGTTACAAAAAAGGCTTCTGAGAAAGAATTAACATCTTAGAATGAAGAATATCCACTTTCTTCATTTTGTAAGAAATCCAGAAAAGACAAATTTGAGATTTAGCCAAACATTCTAACTCTAAAATGAACAGATTTTTCATTAAAAATAGAATGAAAGTAAATTGTGCCCTGACCTCTTCACCAAATCAGTCAAAAATATAACAAAGGGAACAAACCCAAAATAGGTTTTTAATAAAACTAGAACACAATTCAAGCCCACAAAGACTGCCTCTGAAGAGCGTTGTTAAATCCAGGCACCTGGGGGCAGCCGAGAAGTGAGCTGTCTCAAGTGCTGAAACACAGCTCCCCAGCCGCTACAGTTGTCTCTCTTACCTAAAAAGCAAGTGTGTCTAAGAGGAGGAGCCCAGAGAATTCTCCTGCTCCAGCAGGACACCACTGGGATGAGAGGGGAGATGTGTGGGCAGAAGGCAGGCAGGCCAGGAAAGGAGTGCTGGGTGAAGCTGCAGGACACGGGGTAGGCAGGAGGTGGGTTAACTCAGTTTCCACAGGTTAGGAAGGCTCAGGAGATGGATGGCGCAGTAGACAAAGTCAGGATCTGAGCTGAAGCCCCAGCAACCATGTGGAAGCCACACACAGTGATCCACACCTTAGGATTCCAGCACTGGGGAGGCCCAGACCTTGGAGCTCCAGGCCACCAAGTCATGCTGTCTTGTGTGGGGGTGGGGGAGTGGGATGGGGTAGGGAGATGGCTTGCTTGGTAAAGTGTACAAGCGTGAGGACCCAAGTGTGGGTCTCCAGAACCCACATGAAAAGCTGGGTACCACTGCATGTGTCTAGTGTCCTAACACTGGGGAAAAGGCAGACAACCTCGGGAGCTGGCTAGCCCAGCCAGCTCAGTGCAATCAGTGAGCTCCAGGTTCAGTAAGAGGCCCTGTCTCAAAACATTAAGCGAGACTCAGAGGAGGATGCCCTATGTCGATCCCTGGCAGACACACAGAAGGTAGCACCGAGGAAAGACATCCAAGATTGTTCTCTACACACATGTCCACATGTGCAAATACAATGCTAAGATAAATAAATAACTTGTAAGTCCCAAAAACAACCTAAAGAGACTCAAGAAAAACAGATGGCATCAACAGTCTAACTATACGAGACATTTTTGAGAAAATTATTTAAAAACACCATCCAGGAGCTGGAAAGACAGCTCAGAGGTTAAGAGTGCTGGCTGTTGATGCAGAGGACCTGGGTTAGATTTTCAGCACCCACAAGGCAGCTCACAACCATCAGTAGTGCCATTTTCAGGTAGTACAACTCCCTCTTCTGGCTGACCTGGATACCAGGCAAGCTTGTGATTCAGACATACATGCAGGCAAAACACCCATACACATAAAGTTAAACAAACAAACAAAAAACCACCAAGAAAGTTTTACAGGTGAGCTAGGCAAATTTCCAAAGAACAGAGCTCACTGCTATTTCAGCAGAGCTGAAGCACAAAACAAGTGCCCAGTTCCCCAATGCCAGCCCAACAGGACACAGACACAGCGCTGACATATAAAGAGAAAACAACCGAACCGGACTTATGAATACAGCAGAGTCCAGAGTACCCAGGCATGTAACTAACAGGGTTTACAGAGTGACAGCAGGACAGGCAACACGGGGTGTATATTGACACAACCCCACGGACAGAATGCAGAGAGGAAGCCCCATGTTCTCCCTCCCCAGATGCCAAAAGGCTTTAACTTTCCACTAGTCCGGATTTAAGCCAACGGTCTTCAGGAGAAGGTGAATATTTATTCTACATGAGAAAAAACACTAAGTATGAAAAGGAAAGGAGAGGGTGGGGGAAGAGAGAGGGAGGGAGAGAGGGAGGGAGGGAGGGAGGAAAAAGGGGGAGAGGGAGGGAGTTATCCTCCACCCCACTATAAGCAGGTGCTCCACATGCATACTTTACAAACATTAAAAAAACTGCCCATTGGGGATTTAGCTCAGTGGTACAGCGCTAGCTTAGCATGTCCGAGGACCCAGGTTCAGTTCTCAGCTCCAGGAAATGGGTGGGGGAAATGCTCACTATTAAGAAACAAACACAGCACCAAGAAAGAAGACCTTGCCCTAAGATGCACAAATATCAAATCTGTAGTACCACAACATGATGAGAGGGCTCTGGGGAATATGCAGTCATGGACGCCAGTGGTTAGAGGCAAGCAAGTACCACACCTCTGCAGTAGCAGCGATATCCAGCAGCATTTAAACCCCCATGTCCTACTGCAATGTTTATTTTTGAGTGACCAACCACAATTTCTGAATTGTCTTTTTTTTTCTTTTTCTAAATACCATCTTTATAGTCAGTATTCTAATTCACCATTTCTGTGCAACAGCTCAAAATTTACTGACTCTAGGATTTATTCTTCATCTCAAACTGAAACTCCCCCAAGTCCCTGGGGACCCCTGTTCTGCTCCAGTCCTGTGACTGGATAACACAGTATGGCATACAGATGAAATACTTCCTTGTCCATTTGAGTGGCCTTTTCCCACTCAGTGTGCACTCAGACTTCATGCACAATGGCACATGTGTTAGACTGTAACGATGTGCTAACATTCCCTTGCAGGATACATCCTGCTTATCCAATGGGCTATTGACAGACACCTGGCTGTGTCTAACCTGGCTACTGTCAATCACACTCTAAGAGCACTGCCATGAGTATCCATTTGAGACTCTATTTCCAATCCCTTGGCTGTGTACTTAAGCTGGAGTATATGGGGACCACATGGTAATCCTGTGTCTCATCTCTCTCAGGGGAGGGCATATTGCTTTCTGCCCCAATGACAGCAGGCAGGTCCACCTACCAGGAGGTGCAGGGCTCCAAGCTCTCCACACAGGTGTCAGTACTCATACTTGTTCTTTCCTGTTTGTATTCTCATCTCTCTCCCTGGGTTTCATTCTTACTTCTCTTATGTGGGTGGTGCCATTTCTCTGCATTATGAATACTTAGAATCCTAAGTGCTAGTGGAGCACTTGAATACCTTTGAAAAGATGTATCCAAGGCCCTTGTTCATTTTTAAGTTGCTGTTTTTGTTGAATTTTAGAAGCCTTTTTAAAGCAATGTAGACACCAATTTCTTGTGTGTATAATTCATAAGTATTCCCTCCCATCCTGTGAATCCCCTTTTACTCTGGATGGAGCTCAGCATCTAAATTCATCAGCATCTAAATCTTATCTAAGTTCAGACAGGACCTAAGAATTTATCAAGGACTGTGCGCCAGACTAAGAATAGCCTTATATTTTTAAAGGATTCTAGTATGTAGTTTGGAGATCATGGTAGCCTATAAAACCTGATCTTTACTGGACCTGGTCCTATGTTTCCAAGTCAACTCGTGTCTAAAGAAATATCTGAGTTTTCCCCACATGAACAAGGAGCTCTATAGAATGTATTTTTTTCCCCTCTTAATAAAAGGACTAATACTTCCATTTGTCTGTTAAAATAACTGAAGCATGGTACTAGGATTCATATTCTGAGCTCAGAGATGCTGACAAAGCTGTGAATTACATCTTGGGAAAGTGTCAACTCTATTACTCAAATCCTAAGTAGGACGCTGAGGGTGAACCCTCGGTCAGCACCCTATACATTCTGGAAGTGCTTACTGCTATGGTTTAATATGCTCTCCAGACTTCAGTACTACAAACGTCATCCACAAAGTCACACATATCAACAGCATGGGCACTGCATCATGACGTCGGCCCTCATGAATGGATTAATCTATTCATGGGCTTGGTGGATCCATTAGTTTTACAGGAAGTGGCTCTGTTATGTATGAACGAAAGCTAGCACATTCACTACCTCACTGTGCCATGCCATCCGACACATCAGAACCCTGAAGGAAGACTCTCATTAGATGCTGGCACCATGTTCTCTGGCATTCCCAGCTTCCAGTACTGTGAGTTCAAAAAATTTTTATAGTTTATAAATGATATGGTCTCAGGCATTTTGATATAGCAGCCGAAAAGAGACTAAAAAGCTCAGGAAATCCTGTTACCTGTAAATGTTTTAAAAATACAGCTAAGTTTTAAGTTAATTTTATTCCTCTGAAGGACTCCCATTTGAAATGTTACATTTCCATAGAAAGTGTTCACAATCCCTACTACTTCCTTATTTCTTTTTACTGGTGATAGGGATGAATCTCACACCCTCACACACACTAGGTAGGCATTCAACCACTGACTATGCCCTCAGCCCCAGCTCCTACCCCTTTAAAAAGACTAATAAGAAACTAAGGTTAGTGGCTTCAATCCCAACGGACTCAATATAAAAAGTATTTTCATTATATGTTCAGTTAAAAGGGGAACCGAGATGAACCAGATGATCTAAGAATCAGTAAGTATTTCTTTCTAGCACATTCTTTTCTATTTTAAGAGCACCTTGTAAGATGAATACAAATGGAATAAATGTAAGTGAACCAACCCTAACTAGTTGTTTTTTTCCCTTAAATTTCAGAACACAGCCTACAAAGAGCACAGCAGGTGCATCTAGGCACATTACTAGCACTGGTTGTGAAGGGCTCAGAAGCTTTCCGATTTTAACCATTCACTGGCCATGCAAAATGTTATGATAACCTGGACCCTGGAAAAGACACTGGCTGGCACAAAGTCAAGAGTTCAAGGCAGAAACATGTTCAAATTCCAGTACTACCATGTGACCTTGAATCTGGTCTCAGTCTCTTCATTTGTAAACTAGGAGATGACAGTGTAAGCACAGTACATTGTACAAAATGTACAGTACACAGTACAAAAATAATTCAATAAATATTTCCTTCACACACACCTCACTGACTGCACAGGAAACTCTGTGGTCAGAGACCAGACCTCTTCCATACGTGTACTCCTAGTAAAAAGCAGGATGCTCACCACAATAGCCACAAAAACTGCCAATGGAATGTAATCTAGACAAAACCTTGGGAGCCAATAATGTGTGAAATAACCATGAAATGGTGGCAGTAATCAAAACATAAACACACAACCAGAAAACTAGAGTGTACATTTCAATCATGATTTCAGCAAGCACTAGACAGAGGCCAGGAACTTCAGTAAGCAGTTTCAAACCTTCCTTTCCTGACACTCAAGGAGACTGAGGATTTCAACGGTCTAACTCAGAAATAACCCTAGATGTTGTTTTCATTAGTGAGGACTCTTTGAGTCTGCTCCACCACACGGTCAAATACATTCCAACAAGGGCAGAAGAGAGAACGGCAATGACAGCCACACACTTGTCACTGACGTGAGCTGAGCTCCAATCAACCAAGGGCAGCCAGAGGCTTCACTCCCAGCCAAACCCTTGGGCAAGCTGTCCAAATATACCCACTGGCTCTTCTGGTTCACAAACCAACCTATGGACACAATACACTACAGCCAGAAAATTACCTCTCGAACTTCATCATCTTCTTCGTTGGTATTTCTCTGTCTGCTTTCTCTGAAACGCCGGACCTAGACCACAATAAAGTAAGTTAGAGCTGGGTGGTGGTGGTGCATGCCTTTAATCCCAGCACTCAGGAGGCAGAGGTAGGCAGATCTCTGTGAGTTGAGGCCAGCCTGGTCTACAGAGTGAGATCCAGGAAACATAGCTACACAGAGAAACCCTGTCTCGAAAAACCAAAAAAAAGTTATTAAAAAAAGATAGAAAGTTAGACACTGTGTATGTCCTCACAGCAGAGCCAATCAGAATACAGGTGACAGAAGGACAGTCATGGGCAACTTGATGGTTTTTTGGTCTGTGCAACTGAAAGACTGAAGCATCCACTAGAACTCTACCAGGAGAGCAGGACAGAGCATGGGTGTTCTGCTTGGGAGATCTGTTCATCATACAAGGAAGACACTGTGAGCTGTGAACATCTGGAACTCAGAGGAAAGGCTCGGGAGAGAATTGTGAAAAGTCACCACCAAAGCCAAGAAGCTGAATGAAATTAGAAAGCAGGGATGTAGATGGAGGGGTCCAAGGACTGAGCCCTGGAGAGCCTAGCTTAAAAGGACAGAGAGATGAAAGTTACCAGGAAAGAAAATTCTCCATCAAGGAGCGAAGACAGCAGCCCTCACATGTGGAGTCCTGTAAGACCTCTAAGTTCAAAGTGCCTCGATAAGAAGTTTGGCAGCAGTCAAAGTAGGTAAACGAGTCACAGAAAACCGTGACAAGAGCAGCTTCACTGGAACCATGGGTCAAAAGCCAGCATGGGAGCCAGGCATGGTGATACCCATCTTGAATCTCAGCACTTGGGAGGCAGAAGCAAGTGGATCCCTGTGACTTCAAGGTCAGTCTGGTCTACATAGTGAGTTCTAGGACAGTCAAGACTACACAGAGAGACCTTGTCTCAAAAAAAAAAAAAAAAAAAAAAAAAAGGCTGACACAGTAAGGCATGGTGCTGTGGGTACCAAGAGCTGTCATTCACAGAGAATGCAGGTGGAGCAGGCAAAACTAGAGGGCACTGGGTCAGGGAGGAGGCAGACGGCTAGACATTGTTTTGATCCTCACAACTGTGGAGGAGATTCTATTATTCATCCACTTTACAGATAAGGCACAGAAGCGAAGAGAATTCAAGGATCAGCACACAGATGAGGCTTTTGACGGAGCACAGACAATGTAGTTCGGAGGCCATGTTCTTGGCTACCATGACATAGAGACACAAAGACACAGACACACACACTGTGCAGCTCAGAAGCCAGTGTCACTAAAGACAAAACAACCAAGACAACACATCTAGAGTCACAGAGTGAGTGGCACTGGGCACGCACCTGCTCTGACTTGAACAGCACTTGGCACTGAACATGCTATTTACATATAACAGCAAAGCTTTAAGAAGGCCATGCTAAATGCATTAAGATGAAAGGTGAGGGACTATGCTTACAATAGTGCTTTGTCCTATAGAGAAGGTAATCCAAATCTGTAACCATGATGCCTGTCAGTATGTTTGGAACCTCCAAGTATCTACTCACACTCACGTGTGTGATGAAAATGAGTGTGTCAGTGTGTATGGCTCTGCATCCTTAGAGTCCTGTTTGCCTGTGACATCATACTGAGAATACTTTTCCATGTCTTTCAAACACATACTTTGTTTATTTGAGACAGGGTCTCATGCTGGCCTAAAAATCATTATGTACTGAGGATGGCCCTGAACTCCTGATCCTCCTACATCCACCTTCTAAACACGGGGGTTACGGGCATGCCATTGCACCTGACCAAAATCCTAATAGCTCACAGCTATGAAAACTTGAGATTTCTACATGACAGTGCTCAGTGAGACAAGGTTCCCAGCTATTCCCCACTGAGGACAGCACCAGCAGTAATTGTTCTGTCTTGCAGTTTTTCAGGACAATTCCCGGGCCACACTATGGGGACTTTCTCAGCTTCCCAGTGCCCACAGCCACGCTGCTCTCACGACGCTGTCTCAGCACGTCTCTCCAGCAGCGCACTTACTGCCAGTCTCTGAAGTCAAATTGGACAAATAGAATCTATTTAATATTAATGGCCTTGGTTGACTGTGATTAAATACCATCTTCTCAAGCTTGTTAGACATTTCTATTTCCTTGTGAACTCCCTTTTCATGTCTTTTGTTCATGGCTCTACTGAAATGTTTAATGTTTTCTAAAGCTTTCTATGAGCCTTTTAATACTATATTGAAAATGTTAGCCTTTTCTTTTGTACAGTCACAAACATTTTCTCCATGTTCATACCCTTTAATTTTTCTTTTTGACATGCCAACATTTAAATTTCGATGTAACCCCATGGAAGCCTTTTCTCTGTCGCTCCCTCACATGCAGAGGGAAACATGCTCTAGGTGAGACTCAGTCGAGACTAACGAAAAAGTAAAGGAGCAGCAAGTCTTTTCTGCAAGCTTCACTCTGAAGCACTCTCGGGAGCTCTGACAGACACTGTCTCTGGATAGAGCCCACCTGGACTCAGCATCAGCCACATGTCAAACTCTCCTGGGTGCTGCCGAGACACTGCCTCACTCACTCCTCATTTTATCCCCTCAACTTCACAGATGAGGACACCAAACACAAAACAAAAGCTGGCTGTCCACCAGCAGCTCACCTCTTCATCGATCTTGTCTTCCTGGGCATCGATATGGCGTTCCTTGAGAAACCGCTGTGTTTTCTCCAGCTGGTACTTCACTAATTCCTCGATGGCATCTTTCTCCTCCTTGTCCACAAACTCTTGAACTGCTTCACCCATCCCTCTTTCTGTCAGCAGTGAGAGCTGAACATTCTGCATAGGAACACACAAGCTGTTCGATGCACAAGCTCCTCATGCAGTCACTACCCAAGAACGAAAATCAATCTGTTATGGGGAAAGATAAGCTGGGGGTGGGGATCAGCAGGCAGCACTCGGCCAATGGCTAAAAAGTAAAGAGCCAGAAACATGGGAGGGCAGTCAAAGACAGCTGCAGCCTGAGAGGTCTAAATGGCTGAGAGTCCCCACAAAGAGCCCGGGATGATGACTAGAATGAGGCGAGACCATGGCAGGAGGCAAGATGATGGATGTCAAAGTCTCCCACCTCACCCTGGGACCTCTGACTATGTTTGACGGTGAGAAGTCTGAGGCTGCAGAGGGCAGTGTCTGTTCATCATCTGGCTCTAACTATGGAGACTGAGGGGCTCCAGGCAGTCCCACATAATCACAGGGTTTCAGAAAAGAGACGAGGGAGGCACAGGTGGGAAAATGGACAGAGATGGAACACTGCTGGCTGTGCACATGGACAAAGGAGACTCAGCCAGGACAACTGAGGACTGCTAGAGACTGGAACGTTAAGAAACAGACTCTCCCTCAGAAGCGCCGGAGGGAACGTGGCCCTGCTGACACCTTGCTTTCTGCCCAGAGACCAATGCCATTTCTGACCTACACAACTGCCAGGTAACAGATCTGTGTTTTTTCAAATAAATATGACTAAAGACGTCCAAGTGGCTTTCCTATCATATGGTTGTCTCAGAAAGAAAAACATGTAACTAAGGAAAAATTACATTCGCACATAAGATAGAAACTTAGATCAAGACTTAGAACGGAGACAGAAGAGCAGCACAGTGCCAGCAATTGTTCTGTTAATTATATCAGAATGTCCACCCAACCCTTTGACACGGACTACCTCACACTGCGTACTTCACAGAAGCACCGTGGAGTCACTTTACTTAGGGACTGTACACACGCCACACTAAAATCTGCTGTCAGCCATGCTTAGAGCTGTGAGCTGTAAGGAATTACCTTCTCTGCAGTCTGGAAATACTGCTTCACCAGGTCTTCCACTCTGAGTGTCGTTCCTTCCGAAGCAGGTTTTGTGATAAGTTTCCCAAAGTTGATCTCTTCACCTACAGGAAGGGAGCCAGGAAGAAACAGCAGCTTCTATAACACACAAATAGTCAAACTCTCACCATCCTTAGTGGCTCCACATCAGTTTTGAGGCAAAAAAAACAGGGCCTCAAATTTGCTAATTGCCTTGGTGTTATTTTGGGTTTATTTCCTTTTCCACACAGTCCGAAAGGGGGTGGACAGAACTTCTAGGGCCCATGATAAATCAGAGTACCCAAAAAGGCTGCTGCTGTCACCACCACACCCAGTTCAAATAGAAGGAGCCAGTTTCACTGACAATGCCTCTTACAGACTGGCTCTCAGCCCTGAGCCCCTGTCAGCATTCTGTGCGAGCACTAGCAGGAAGTATGCTCAACGCACTTCTGCTGACTTCCTGTGCAGAGCAGTCAACCAAAGCGCAGCAGACACACAACAGTGCCCGCAGTGCAGAGACTACCTGGTGCACTGCATCTCTGGCCAGATGGACAAATACCTTTTTAAGTTCCAAAAGCGTTGATACTTCTTTTAAATACAATGACTACACTGTATTTGCCAGACACTGCGTTCAGGCCATTTACAAAACAAGTCCAGTTTTATGCATGAGGGATCTTAACAGTGGAGAAGCTATTAATTTACACCATGTCACATATGTAATAAAGTGGTCAAAATAAGAGACTCAGTTAAGACACACCCACGTGACATCATTTCCACCAAACAATTCAAATTTAAATAAAAAAGTATTCCCAGGCCAAAACCTACTGGGGATAAAACTCAAACAGGACAAGGTTCTTGTCAAGGAACCAACAAGTAGTAACTGATAAAACTCACATCCAAAACAGTTCTTGCATGTGGCTTTCTGTTCCCATAGCAACACTGTATGACCTACACTTCAATATCTGAAAGATGGCTTCAGGTTGAATTCACAGCATTTGTAAGTTACTTTTTTAAGGATTTTATTTATTTTTTTCCTAATGTGTATGAACATTTATCTGAATGCATGCCTATGCACCATGTATAAGGAGTGCTCAGAGGCCAGAGGAGGGCATTGGATCTTCTGGAACTACAGTTAGAGACAGTTGTGAGCCACCATGTGAGTGCTGGGAACTGAACCTGAGTCCTCTAGAAGAGCAGCCAGTAATCTTAACCTCTGAGCCATCTCTCCCAACCCATTATTCTTAATTTTTACCACTGCTGAAAAGTCTCTTACTAGTTATAAAGGGAAGGACTTTCTATAATGAACATGATTGATACTTCTTATGAAAAAGTATTATTTTAGTTGATGACTTTGTTCTATGGTTAACAGGACACTAAGTGTTTATAAAATTTAACTGGAAAGGAACTACTCAATTATCAAAAATACCAAACTACAGGACACTTTTGACTTCAAAGTGTCACTACTAAGTCAAAATACTTGAAAATGCAAAAGTTGAAAGTATGCACTCTGACTATTACTCCACGGTAGGAAATACTCCATGTATTGTGAAGAAGAGACACCTCAAGTCTGAGTACTGTTACTTAGCACCACTGTATAAAAAAGCTGTGTCTGCAGACAAAGCCTTCCTCCAAGCCATCATTAATGACCACAACTTTAAAAGCCGAATACAGTTGGGTGGGACAGTGCGGTGGGCGGGACAGTGCAAGGCCGCAGTCCCAGCACTCAGGACACTGGAGAAGGATCTAGAGTGTGAGGCCAGAGGCTACAGAAGAACGAGTCAACAAACAACTAGAAAATATCCCAAATGCTCATTTTCAAAAGATAAACTATTGCCTTACATTTTTTTGTCTAACATTACAAATACTAAAATGTCTACTACTATCTTGCATTGATTTTACCAAAGACTGATTTACACAAATTCCACCAGAGCATTCTCTAACTTTTTAAAATAACGAGTTTACCTGTTTTTTCCTTTTGTTCCCTGTGCCTAAAAAAGTGGATGACATCTTTGGGGTTAGCTACGCGATCCACAAATTTTTGGCTAAAGCGAAGAACACTGAAAGGTTCAAAGCCTCCACTGTAGTCCACCTGGAAAGACAGGAAACAGTGTACCAATTTTTGAGAAATGCACCTTTTTTTGCATCCACAGTTTAGAATCTATAGTCTGGTATCTATAGTATTTATATCACTCTAAAAGCTCAATACTTGTATCTTTCCAAACTCATGTCCTATGTGTAATGGTCATGATTATGTTAAACCACTTGTCCTATTGACAGAATCATACTCAGAAGGTGAGGTTTATACAAACACACTTCTTGTTTAAGAGAACAAGGCAATGCCATCCCAGCATTCTGAAATGTACTCTGTCTCCTGTGACAGCCGAGGTACCATCTGAAAACAAGGTGGGATTCTTAGGTCAATTTTTCAACTTTCAAAATAAAGGGATAAACCCTGTACTGGCTGGTTTTGTGTCAACTTGACACAAGTTAGAGTCATCTGAGGAAGGAGCCTCAGTTGAGGAAATGCCTCCATGAGTTCCAGCTGTACGGCATTTTCTCAACTGATGACCAGTGTGAGTGGGCCCAACCCAAGGTGGGTGAGGCCATCCCTTGGCTGCTGATCCTGGGTTCTCTAAGAAAGCAGGCTGAGCAAGCCATGGGAAGCAAGCCAGTAAGCAGCTCCCCTCCACGGCCTCTGCATCAGCTCCTGCCTCCAGGGTCCTTCCTGTTTGAGTTCCTGCCCTGACTTCCCTCAGTGAAGAACAGCAGTATGTAAGCCACACAACCCCCCCCCCCCACTTGCTCTGTGGTCATGGTGTTTCGATGCAGCATAGAAACCCTAAGACTCCTTAACAAGATAAAACACCTTCAGTACACATGTCAGCTTCTTCATCCGTGTCCCAGGGAGACGTCTCCAGACTGGACCCAGACAAGTGCTAGCACAATGCAGGCAGTGAGGAATTCCACGTCCGGGTTCTGAGAAACGACTACTTAGAGTGGTTTGAATGAGATGTCCCCCAAAGTCTCAGGCTTAGCAGGTGTGGCCTCGTTCAAGGAAGTATGTTTCTGGAGGAGGCTCTGAGAGTAAAAGGCCTCAACTACTGCTAAGTGCACTCTCCACTTCACAAGACCGGAGCCCTCAGCTTCTAGGATGGCCACCATGCCGGTCACCTGCTGCCTCTGCCCCAGCAGCATGGACTCTAACCCTGACACCACATTTGTCTTTACTGCCGTAATTACTGTGGGAACCGCCCCTGCAATGTGGACGGCACTTTCTGGTAGGAGCGCAGATAAAAAGGGCAGGAAGAGCATCACTGTCCTCACTTGCCCGTCCTCCTTGCTGCTGAGTTGATTCATCCTGTTCCTGCTGCTGTCGAGTCCCTTGCAGCTATTAATCGAGCATGGACTGCAGGCCCGGTGGCTCTGCAGGAGCCCTCCAGGTCTTCTCCGGATTGCAGTGCGGAGGCACTAGCCTCCAGGACCGTGCAATCACAGGGTTCTTGGCCTCTGCAGTGTGAGGCTGTGACTACTCTGACCACCGAGGCACCAGCCTCCTAGACTGAGCACCCTCAGGTTCTCAGCCCCTCGGGTGTATCCCAGGACTTCTCAAATGGTAATGTGCAGATAAATCTCTTGGGGACCTTGTCAGAAGGCAGCAGGGCAATGTGGGAATTCCACATTTTAAACACTGGTGACGCTTAAGGCCACACCTCCTGAGCATCGGGGCTTACAGGTAAATAAGGAGTCACTACCAAATGCTGTTAAAACCTTAATATGCCTAGACTGAAAAGAAAGCTGAGAGTCAGGAGGAGCTGGAGATAGCTCAGGGAGGGCCTGAGTAACTCAGGGTCAAAACTGAGGTGAACTCAAAATTAAAGGTTACCTGCTCCATCAGAGCTTGAGGATGGTGACCTGAGGAACAGAATGTCAGGACTGCAGGCTACGTGTGTCTGAGCACATGGAAGACAGTCAGAGAAACACAGCAGGGCTGGCGGGAAGGAAGACGCTTTGGGACAAATGGAAGGCCCGCTCCTCCATGTTTGTATCAGGGTGGGAAAGGCAGGCCGACAGTGCAGCGCACACAGCAACCAGAACAAGAATCCACACAGGGCAGAGAGAATGTAATGAAACCTTAGGTTTAGATAACACAAACCATCGGGCTGCGGGGCACTGGAGCAGGGAGAGTGAGAATAGAAGGGATTCCTCCCTGGAGCCTCAGCAAGGCCAAAGTGCCCGGAGTGGAGCACAGGCAAGAAACAAATCATTTAGGAAATGACAGACTATGAATAAAGTACCAAGCCTACCAAATTCACCTGAGATTACGTCAAGCCGCATGGCTTCCCATTTCAGCCTCTGGGGAGACTATTCTCACTACTTCAAGCACTTAACTTACTACTTTTCAGAAAAGCACGTAAAGTCTGCATTATTATGAAAACTAGTGAGGGTGAATTCACAAAGGACCTACCCGTAGTCGGATAAGAGGCTTCTCTGGCTGTAGAGGATTCCCCAGCCGTTCGCGCTCAGCATTTTCAAGCATTCCTTCAATCTCAAATGAAATGGCAAAGTGTTAAATTTTGTGTAAATTGGTTAACACAGTTTATATTACTGCTATTGATGGACTGGCCTGACTCCATCTTAAGAATGGAGGCCATTTAGTTATAAGGTCAGAACAAGTTCATTACTGTTTGCTGCCAAAGTTGACCATGCTTTAACTGTTTCTGGAATGTGACTCGCTCCCCACCCTATGGAGTTGACTCACATACTGAATACACCCTGATAAGATCAGATGGTCTGCCAAATTATGTTAAAATATTCAGTTCCTACATAGCCAAAATTCCTCTGGAAATCCTCCATTCCTCGAAAACCCCTTCACATTGCAGTTTGGGGACTATATAAACCCTACACTCTCCTGTGCTCAATTCTATATTTTCAAACCCCGCTTCAGGGAGATAGCCCTATCTGGCAGAAAATAAATCTTGCTTGATCTGATCAAGGAATGGGCAATGGTCTTTACTCTGTTCGGTGGGATTAACACCACGGAATTCGGCAGAACTCCATGGCCACCGTGGCTTCCCACGTCACTGGCAGCATCTTCTGAACACACCTTGCCATGCCACCACCAACACCACCCCTTAGCACTTTTCTTTTTCAAACTTTCTCAGCAATTTTTCAATCTCTAATGTAACTCCTTCACAAGAAAACGTAAACGCCGATTCTGTTCCAATTTGCTACTCATGTTTCAACATGGGCTCCCTCGCCTTAACTTTAAGCCAAATGAATCAAGGTTTTCAGTGGCATCATAGACTCTGCAGAGATCCATAGGATCTTGGAATGTTTACCTTGGAAAAGTTTAAGTAAACAAGATGTTTCCAACATCTGAAGCTGCCTCGTGCTATACCAGGTCAAGCTTATGAAGTCTCAGAGATCCAAAAGCAAAAGCACTTGTCCTATATTGCCTCGGAGAGAGAGCTAAGGTCTAAGAGGGTAGATTTTCATTCCAACATGTCTTCCTAATGGCTGCAGAAGTTTGTCAGCCTGAGCTCCTCTCCAAGTCTGAGACTGTATAATGCTCTACTACTCTCCCTGCCTCCACCTGCCGCACTCTGGGATGACAGGCGTGCAGCGCCATGCCCAGCTCCTCAGCAGTGACTTTACCTCAGCAGTATCTGGTGCTGCTGCCAGAAAGCCTACGGACACGGGGAACTTGAAAAGCAGGTAGTACAATCGAGAGAGTGGTGTGGAATGTCTTACAGTCTGCAGCCACCTGTGCTGGTGACTGCTCCTGGACACAGAGAGCTTCAAGAGTGAGGTCTGCTTGGAAGTCTGCAGTTCCGCGAGCATGCATGAGCCAGGCAGCACAAGGGTACACAGAAGAGCTAGGTGGCTGGGCACGGCGGCACCCTGGGTCCCCACATTCCAGAGGCACAAAGACAGAGTTTAAGGTGTCATAGTGAGCTCTAGGCCAGCTTAACAACAGAACAAGGCTGTTTAAAAAAGAAAAAAGTTTAAAATACAAAACACTTCACACATGGCCTTGTCCTCACAGGCGTGACGATAACAACATGACTACTGACCATAGCAGAACGGCCAAGATGCACACAGCTTGAGTCTCTGCTGCTAGCAACCACTCTCCTCTCTGGGTTCTTATGACTCTCCTAAGGGTGGGGCATGCTGGGAATCCTGGCACTTGAGAGGGACAGGCAGGAGGTTCACAACGAACTCACATTCCAGACTAGCCAGGCCTCAAGTCAAGAACCCATCTCAAAAAAGAAAAAAGAAAAAAAGAAAGCAAAAAAAATTGGAATTTAGGAGCAGGGGTTGCAAAGGAGGTGATTTCAACCCTCAGAGAACAGTTCACAGTCTGTCTTATCACGACTGTGGGGAAAGGGATGTGATGGCTAGTTTTACATCAACTTGACACGGCTAGAGTATTCTGGGGAGAACCGCAAGTAGAGAGGCCTACAGCCCTAGTCAGCCGGATCTGGGAAGCCAGTCACTGTGGAACTGCACACACTAAAGCTTTTCAGTTCCGCAAGTCACACACGTTGCTCCTTCAGCTGTGACACTGGCCAGCTGCCTAATCTGAGGTCCAGTTTGTGGCAGAGAACATGGATTAGGAGGCTAATGCAGTCAATGGCAGAGAAATTGTCTAACATCTGTAAAGCCCTGGATTCAATTCCTAGAAATAACAACAGGAAAAGGAGGAAGAGGAGGAGGGAACAAAGGAAGAACAAAAAGAAAAAATGGGAGGTAGAACCTATCCACATACAGCACTGTGAACGGATTAAATGATACCCGGGAGACAGCACACAGAGGCAGTCAGCACGTACCACTGACCGTCATTATCATCCCATTTCTTACCTTCCATGAGACTACAAAGTAAAGGCAAAGCTGGCAGCCGCGTACGGACTGAGCATGTCAGCAGTTCAGGCTGTCAAGCTGCCGGTCTGTATGTGATAAACTGCACAGCCCAACTACAGCAGGGCACCCAGAACCTCGGAGGCTGAGGGAGGGCAGCCAGCTACGGCACAAAGGAAGGCTCAGTTTTATTTGGAGTAGTTTTCAGGGTGGGAGGAATGTGTAATGGAGATAAGGTGTGGGACCATAGTGTCCTCCCATCTCCAAAGTCAATGTCTGCCTTCACAAGGAAGATGAACCAGTTATCAAACACGGATCAAAGTGAGGAGATGGATGGGTATGCTCTTGAAAAGAAGTTCTGGGAGAATCAACTAACATCTTCTTTGGATCTATCATTCTTCTATGTAAAAAAAATCTACTTAGACTTCCCCCTCTAAGGCTCAGGGGACATCGAAGAAGAAGGTGCAGAAGGATGTAAGAGCCAGGAGACAAGAATGGCTGCAAAGAATCACCTTGTGGGCGTGACATAACTATTACGATCATAAACTCACTGCGGCCGCATCAGGCTTGCATAAGACCAATAGTTAGTCATAGATCAACTGCTGGATACTGACGGATTCTGGGGAAGGCAGGGCAGTCATCTTCAGAGCCCACCAGGCACGGGGGCAAAGCAGATGGCCCCATTTAAACTCAATGAGTCACAAAGCAAAAAGACACAAATGTGGAAAGACTTTGGGGGAGGGGCTGTCAAGGGTGAAAGGGAGAGAAGGGGGACATTATATACATGTGTGAAATTGTCAAGGAACAAATTTAATCGGTAAATAATCTACTTAAAAAAGGAAAGACCTCACTTCCTGAGCGCCAGCGGGGCTGCAGCTTCCCTCTGCTCTGCTCAGCCCTGTGACGGAAGCTCAGTGATTTCTCAAACCACACGGACAGCACTGCTGTTCTGAGAAAGTTACCTTCTCCAAGCAGAAGCTCTGGATGGCCTGGGTCACCTTAGGGTTGTCGGGGTTGAAGAGGCTCGGGTGGTTAGCCAGAACCACGTCCTCCATGAAGAACTGGCGCACTGTGCGGAGAGGCAGCTTCTGCATGTTCATCTTCCTGCCTTTAATGCGCAGCAAGCCCACGTGTCTGCGGAGGAACCGGGGACTCAGGCACAAAGGAGGCGTCCTCAGCAGGACGGACGCATCACGGCTATCAGCCAGACATGGGGCACATGCCTGTGATCCCAGCACCCAGGAGACCAAGGCAGGGCACAACAAGTTAGAGGCCAGCTGCAACCCTCCTTAAACAAACAAAAGGCTCCATTTTTCTTAGTTCTTATAAAATACTCTTAAAAATAGATGTTTCTGTCAATTTAACTTTAATTTTTTTATAGTAGAAAATGGCAAACATTCTTCTTTGTAAGAATAAAATGTACTCCCCCATCATCTCCTGTCTGAACATATAGAGTTTCCTAAAGGAAGAAACCTCACAGCAGTATACTAAAATGCTATCCAGACCATGACAGAGCCCCAGGAAAACCCACAAGCACACACTCCACTGCCATGCTCTTTATCCCAACGTTAAGATAACCATCCAAACCTGAGCAGATCACTGGGTAGGACCTTCCACAGAAGCCCAGTTCACGAAATGTCAACAACTTAAATCAAATTAGAAAGCTAGGCACCGTAACACTTTCTTGAATCCCAGCACTTGGGGGCAAAGACAGGAGGACCATGAGTTCGAGGGCAGCCTGTCCATACCGTGAGACACCATCTTAAAAGCCACCTCCCAGCATGGACCCGAAAGAAAGTAGATATGCTGCAACAGTATATTTATAACCAGAAAAGGCTCAGCTAAGTGACTTTATGAGAATGTGCTTATGCAGGGACTTTGCCAACTGCCATTTGAGCTGCCCAAATCTGAATCTAATCACATCTGAGTGGAAATTCCAGGAGTGACCCTGTGCAGCTGCAGAACTGTAGGCTAGAGAGAAGCAGACGTCCAGGAACATCGACTTGAGGAAGGCGCTGCATGAGCCAAGGCTGAACTGGGATGTTTACCCCAAATGGCTATAACTCCATCAGAAGAGGGAGACAGATCATGGTGGCTGACATGATTGCTCTCTGTGGTGGTCACCCTGTGTTCCCTGTCACAGAGGAAGAGGGAAAAAAGAATCTGAGGCCCAGAAGAGACCTTGGCAATTAACTAGTTCAGCCTCTGCCTTTCCTTGGTAACTGAGCAAGACCACGTCCAGGCAAGCTAACCAGAAGTTGTTCAAGACCACAGAACTTACAGAAAAACTGTTTCCCCCATTTTACTGTGGAGAAAAAAAATGTATGCAGAGCAAAGTCAGAACTTTGGTAGAGAGCTCATTTTACCCACAGTAGAATTCTTGGATTCTACTGTGAGGCATTATTAAATTATCTACTCAGCTACCTACCTACCCTTCCCTATTATCTTCCACTGCATTTTGTATATTTGTCTTTCAAAGTGAACTATGGATATCTGTACTCCTTCTCTTAAAGCAGTGTTTATTTGATTTTTCATTTTTTTATTTACCTAAAAATAAATGAGACAAAGTGGAAAAAAAGGCCTCAAAACCAAAAAAACAGTGCAACTACAATAACCAACCTTCATACACAATGAGACCTCAGGGGAGGAGGGACGGCTCAGTGGGTTAAACACCTGTCTGCAAGCCTGAAGACCTGAGTTCGATTCCCAGAACCTGAGCAAAGTGGAAGAGAACTGATTGATTCCAAAGCTGTCTTCTGACCTCACTGTGGTATACAAGCTTCCTCTCACACACACAGTAATGAATGAAATCTAAAAACTGACCAAGCTGTTCCCTGCTGTCAACACCATGGATGTGGGGTAAGCAGACTACAGCCAGGATGTCTTAAGAACTGTCTTAGAAATGTAAGTACTCACTTCTTCACAGCTTCTCCGGGGGAAAGGGAAGTCACCACTGAGCTTCCAGGCTGAGACACATAGAAGAGCTGCTGCTCATTTTTCATTGGGCCAATTTTACACTCATGCTCATGGCCCCAGATAACAAGGTCAATGAAGTCATCCAAAAACTGTTCTGGGATGAAGTTGGTGTTTCCATGTTTACTCCTACACCAAGATTTAAGAGCAGAATATAAGTTCACAGGAGTAAGGAAAATTCCATCTTAGGTCTACACAGATCTTTTTTCTCTATCCTTGTTAGAAACTGCCTAAGGGACGGGTATTGTATGGAATTCCAAAGCACAGGTTTACAAAATGGCAGGACATAATCAAGCTAGAGGCCTGCCAGGAAGTAGGAAGAGGCCAGGTCTGCACTGAAAGGAGATGACAGAATTTACAGAAGGAAAACAAGATCTGTCCACTGCAAATCCACAAGCAGACCTGATCACACACTGCAAAACCACAAGTGGATCTGATCACACATCGCAAACCCACAAGTGGATCTGATCACACACCACAAACCCACAAGCAGATCTGATCACACACCACAAAAAGAAGACAGATTAAAAAAGTGAGTTAAGAGGGCTGGAGAGATAGTTCAGAGGTTAAGAGCACTGTCTGCTCTTCCAGAGGTCCTGAGTTCAATTCCCAGCAACCACATGGTGGCTCACAACCATCTGTAATGAGCACTGGCGCCCTCTTCTGGTGTGCAGGCATACATGCAGGCAGAACATTGTATACATAATAAATAAATAAATCTAAAAAAAAAAAGGTGAGTTAAATCTAAACTTCATAATAAAATAACAAACTCCTAAATGGGTCCAGTGACTTAACATCATCTGCTTCTTTTACTGACTATAGAAAGAAGGACTAAAATGGTCGTTTTAAGAGTTTTCAGGACACTGAACTGCAGTGACCTCATGTGAAAGCTGTGCTTAGAATTAGCAGAACAGATCCCTCCTCACAGAGGAGGAATCCATTGGAGGACAGAATGCCCAGCAGGGAAGGGCAAGCCAGGATGGCTCGACAGTGCCAACAGCAAGGAGAAGTGTAGAAACTCAGGGAGATGGAAAGTGGAGTTAGGAAAGCAGCAGAGGGCCTGTGTGCTGTGTGTGTCTTTGTGTGGGTCAAGTGGGGGGTGTGAGGAAAAGCACGGCACGCTCAAACGCTGCACAGTGCCACGGTGCCTTCACAGCCACACAATCCTTTCTGGAAGAAAGGGACAATGGTGCCGGCAGCTTGCTGAGAGACTGCAAACGGTCTCTCACCAGTTTCAGGCTCCCTCCTGCAGCAAGAGCAAAGCTGGTCTTAAAAAGTGGAAATAGGGGCTGAAGAGATGGCTCAGAGGTTAAGAGCACTGACTGCTCTTTCAAAGGTCATGAGTTCAATTCCCAGCAACCACATGATGGCTCACAACCATCTGTAATGAGATCTGGTGCCCTCTTCTGGCCTGCAGTCATATATGCTGTATACATAATAAATAAATAAACCTTTTTTAAAAAAGTGGAAATAAAGTAAAACGCAAAGATTGAAGGACACACACCCAACTGAGCAGTTTTCCAGAACTCTGACAGATGTAATAACAGCAGATGTCTGAGAATGAGAAGGGGAAGGAATGGATCTAAGTGTCTATAAGAAGCACACACCCAACAGCGAGAAGGAAGCCAGGAATGAAGCAGTACAGCTTTGAACCTGGCATCCTGACTAGATGTGAAGGGCCATGGACTGAAGTCACAGACACTGTAGTCTAATGTGTTCCTCACAGGGATGCAGGTGAGAAGTAACAAAGGTTCTCTGTACACTTCATACAAACAACAGTAACCACCAGGACAAAAACAGAGTTCAGCGGCAGAGCACTTGATGAGCATGTGCAAGGGGACACATGTGCAATGCACTATAATCCAGGCTTCTTCTAGGAAAAAAAAAGTAACAAATATGCAAAAGAGAAGACAAAAATGGACTGTGCAGATCTGGATTAAATTAGAATCAGCATGAACTTATGGTTGTATTTTTTGTGCACACACATACAGTTGAGAAATTAGGTATGTTTAAATGTGTAGTTACTATACTTTAACTTGGTTCACTGAGATGGCTTAGAGATCCAGCATCAACAAGCACACCCAAAGCTCACATAAACGCTACTTCTAAGTACTGCCAACAAAAGCCATCAGAACTCCTTGGAGAAGTGGATGATTCCAAGGTGAGGGCAAGAAAACACAAGATTGGACTGCAGCATCTTGTGAGGTCAAGAATCTAAGGCCATGCTCAACAAATAAATTAATAAACACAAACACACAGATGTGCTCTCTCTCTCTCACTCTGTCTCTCTTCCTCTCCCTCCTCCGTCCTCCCCCTCCCCTCGCCAAAGGCCAACAAACAGCACAAGTCTTATACCACAATGCTAACTGCTGGACACAATCACCCTGCAGGCTCAAGTTAGATACAACAGTATCATGGGAAACAAGGAATTCACATGGTTATAAAGTATCTTCCTCAGATACTAATTTCAGAAGAGAAAATGAGAACTGCACTGAGGAGCGAACTGTAGTACACCCCTCAGATCAGATGAGCGTCACCATCTTCTGCGGCAGATGTCAGACATAACCCGCGGCGGGGCTCTCCACCTCCCATTATGGCTTAATCTTTTGGAATAATGGGTTTTCCCTCCACCTTTCCCTGTGTGGTGCAAGGTGAGGCGGAAAAGGAAATGCTCAGCAGTGGTGTAAAGGTTCAAGGAACTCACGCACACCAGAGCACACTTGAGACACAGTCTCCCACTCCTAAGTCTGCCTCCTCAAGAGCTGCACTGACCCAGCACTTAGCCTAAATGACTCAAACACACTGCACGGTCAGGCCCACATCCCTGGAGTCTTCTTCAGACTTCCCAGCTCTGTCTCTCTCCCCTTCCGACTTCCTGCAATCACTCCTACCACGGTGTCTCACTTCTCCACTATAAAGATCACAGGACACACCTCGCTTCCTCTGGTTTCTCTTCCTCCCAATCTACCGTGGACTCTATGAACAGAATAAACTATCTACAACCACTAGCAAAGACAGCTGATCTAGCTATGTTTCTGGAAGGGCATTCACACAACATACACAGCACACACAAACACAGATGCATAGAGGAAGTGCTCAGTGCATCAAATTTTATAAAGCATAAAATGTGAAATAAAATGCTCACTGACAGAAGAAAAATACAACTACAGATCAGTAACACTTCTAAGTACCAGGAAGGATGAAGTTCAGTAAGTAATATTAAACACTTGCTGTCTAGGACACACAGTGATTCCTAATATACTAAGTATCTTCTGTGGATAATACAGTAAAGCACATGGGATGATTAATTCACAACAAAAATAGTGTTTCCTAAGGGATACGAGAAAGCAGATGGGATGGGGCAGGTTGGCAATGTCCCACTATTCGCTGCAGCAATGCGTCTGTTATGGTTACTCTTCTGTCTCAGCCATTCTGGGCAAACATTCTTTCATAGGTTATTAATTCTCATCAACTGGCTTCAGTCTGAAGTCACACAAAGCAGTGAAGCCCTCTTGAACTGATCCTGGAGACGGTGAAGGAGTCAGGCCTTTACTAAGGGCCTGTGCAAACAGGTCTTGAGAACCTCGGTGCTTCACTTAGCGTGTTTTTACCTGTTCTGATGAATCACAAATAAGTTAAACCATGAGTGCTCATCTTCCTTTGGTCTCAGCATTGTTACTTTTTTATTGACAAACATCCGATAGAGCCTTTCATCTGGAATGGACCCTGTGGAGGAACACAACACTATTTTAAAACTGTTTTCCTACTGTGTATTTAAAAGGTTGAACAGGTTTTACTTCTAAATTACGTATTTCTCAAAGGACTACATTTTTCTGTTCAGATATAGATCTGAATTTTGGAACCACACGAATAAATGGTATCTACCAACAAATGCTCCAGGCTCATGCACAACAGCATTCAGTTGCAGCCAAAGAATACTTTCCACTCTGGGAAACAGGATAATATGTAAAGGTTCCCATGCTTACATTCCCACCAGAATGTCTGGTAACATCATCTCTCATCCCTTTACATGAATGCTAAGTAAACGCACTTTTCAACTCTGATATGCCATATAACATGCACAGAAATGAACACTGAAGGGGAGGGGAGTTTCTAAAATGTACTTTAAGGTATCATACTATTATATATACTGAGTCTGTGCTTTTTAATAATTCAGTGATTTTAAGGAACTCTTCCTATACTCAGAGGCTTGCCTTGGTCTAGTAGAAGACACCAAGAAAGCAAGTAACAAGTAACAAGACAGTAATAAATAAAAATTGTCATTGTTATGTTAGAAGGAAAGGCCAAGACACGATCACAGAGAGTCACTGTGGAGCTGGGGAGGGTTGAACAAGGCTGCTACTCCACACTCTGACGACAGAAGAAAGCCAGTGACTGGATGCAGAGACAGCTGAGTGTATGGAGTAAACAGTGAGGTGGACACAGGACCGGCAAGTCCAGCACACAAGGCCCGCAGCGCTGGTAGGAAAACCCGCATGCTGAAGAACTGCCAGTGCTGGTAAAACCTGGAGACGCGGCTGAGGGAAACCTCCAGTGGCAGCGGCCTCCCGGGACCGAGTATGTGGACACGGCCGGCTGTCAGTGCAAGGGGAACAGGGACCCTACTTCTGCCCAGCAGCCCCAGGTGTGAGAACTAAGGGGGACACAGGGAGTAGGCTCCAGCTGGGCATCACTGAAGGGAGAAGGTGGAGGTGGGGCTCCAGAAGAGTCTGAGGGTGCTGAGAACTTGCTGATAACAAAACATATGCTTTAGGTTTAGGACGGAGCAGATGCCAGTTAAGGACAGAACAGGATGGGTAACTCGGGAGGAAAATGGATCACTGAAAAGGGGTGCCCCAGATAACAGCCAAGACACAATTCAAATGTAAGAACAAGCCATTTTTCAGGAGACACAATACCCAATACTGCAGACACTAAAACCGCCGCCAGTGGCCTTTTAAAATGTCTATCCCCTTCGTGTTCTATCTCAGATTCAAACATCAAGCACAACAAATGGGCTTTACACATTATTTCTAGCCTCAAAAAGGCTTGATATAAAATATACAGAATTTTTAAAGTGTGTTCTTCAAAAACAGTGTTTAGGGGGCTGGAGAGATGGCTCAGATTAAGAGCACTGGCTGCACTTCCAGAGGTCCTGAGTTCTATTCCTAGCAACCACATGGTGGCTCACAACCATCAGTAATAAAATCAGGTGCCCTCTTCTGGCCTGCAGGCATACATACAGGCAGAACTCTGTATAAATAATAGTAAATTTTTTTTTAAAGTGTTTATTTTTTCCTTCATGTATAATAAAGTCTAGCAAAAAGGCTTTCCTACAGAACACTAAAGAAATGGAAAACAGAAGCACCAGGAGTAGTGGCACACACCTTTAGTCCCAGCACTCTGGAGGCAGAAGCAGAAGCAGGTGAATTTGAGTTTAGTCTGGTCTAGAGTGAGTTCTAGGACAGCTAGAGCTACATAATGAGGGCCTGCGTTGAAGAAACCAAAAACCAAACAAATAAAAAAGAAAGGAAGGAAAAAAGGGAGAGAGGGAGGGAAGGAAAGAGGGAGGAACGGGGGGAGGAAGAGAGAGGGAGGGAGGGAGGACAATTAAATTGACAAAGTGTGTGTGTGTGTGTGTGTGTGTGTGTGTGTGTGTGTGTGTGTGTGTCACACGCACACGTGTGTGGAGAACAGACATCAAGCTTGAGTGTCATTCCTCAGGTACCATCCACCTTGTTTTGAAGACAGAGCCTCCAGCTGGTCTACAGTACCCCGATTTGGCTATGCTGGCTGCCCAGCTATCCCTAAGGATTTCCCCCTCCTCACCTACCCAGGGCTGGGATTACAAGCACATAACAGCACACCCAGGGTAAAGCAGATTTCTGAGTCTGCTTTAATAATAAGATGTCAGGTGGAGAGCAGGTGCATAATGTGAGCCACTAATGACCAGATATATGATTTTCTCCCAGTCACATGGAAAAACAAGTAAAACGGCAAAATTAATTTTAACGTACATAATCTGTAATAATGGGTCTTCCTCCATCTCTTACATCCAGAGTGTCACAACTCACAGCAGCCAGATTTTATCTCATAAACTAAAAAGGCCAGTGTCACTGTACTAAACAGGATGCTTGACCTCTTACACACTTCTACGACACCAAATGCAGTTCTGCTAAGCAGTGTGCATGTCTGTCATCCAGCTTTGTAAATGTGACTCTAAAGAAAAGGTCCAAAACAATAAACAGAAACTAAGCAATGCTGCTGGGTTTTTTACTATTTGGGGGGGGGGGCACCACCCAGCTCCCAAATAAATCACAAACAGAGACTTAGTCTTAATTATGAATGCCTGGCCTTAGCTTGGCTAGTTTTTAGCCAGCTTTCCTTAACTTATGCTGTCTACCTTTTGCCTCTGGGCTTTTCCTGTTCTCTTCCTCCTGTAAATCTTACTCTTACTCCGTGACTTACTGTGTAGCTGGGTGGTTGGGTAGATGGCCCCTGGCGTCCTCCTCCCTCTCTGGCTACTACTTCCACTCACTCCTCAATCTCTTCTCTTCCTCTCTTCCTTCTATTTATCCTCTCTCCTCCCAACCCCACTTACCTCTCTCTCCTGCCTTGCCATTGGCCATTCAGCTCTTTATTAGACCATCAGGTGTTTTAGACAAGCACAGTAACACAGCTTCACAGAATTAAACAAATAAAACATAAACAAAAATAACACACCTTAAAATAATATCCTACAACTAAGCAAAGTTTCATTTGCTTGTTTTTTTCTACCAAAACTTCCATTGAATATGAATAGCTACCAGTCCTTAGAAATACTAAAATCATTTTTACCAAAGCATTCCACCATCTTTTAGTTATCAATAAGGAATAATCAAATTTGTCTGACTTTTCCTCCTTTGGAGCCCCTTGGGTCCAAACTATCTCGAAAATTGCACTTGCCAACCGTTCACACATCACCGGCTGACATGGACAATGGAACGAGCATGTCTGACCCAAGGCAGCCACCTACCTAAGCCGTACAGAGCGAGTTTTGTGCCTCCTTTCTGTAGCAGAACTGGACTAATGTCAATCTTCTCCACAGACATGGACCGCCCAAAGTGATTCACAAACCCAGCACAGCTTAAAATATCCAGGGCGCAGAGGGCATCTGCCTGTTTGAAAGTTTCAAAGAGCATTGAGTGTGTCCACAGAAATGGATGGTCTGGGTGAGAATCATACCACCTATCTACGGTTTGAGCGAGCATCACACTCCCACATCAAAAGCACACTCTGCAGACCACAGGTTAAGTGTGTCTTGCTCACAAAACTTGGGATCAAAGTGTTTTCAGATTTGGGGTTTTCTTGACTTTAGAATGTGCAAATCTTACCAGATGAGAATCCCAAGGTGAAAACTCAAAACCTAAAATGATTTATAACCAAAAACTTAGGAGTCTTCACTTTGAGATTTTTTTTGTAGCACGTTTAGCTTATTAATTTTTGAACTAAGGACACTAAACCTGTAATTACAAAAACAGATTATGGCAGTGTCTTCTCAAAACAAAATCCCAAAGTTGAGCAGTTGCTACCTTCTTCCAACTACAGATTACCCACAGCAGCTGAAAGCATACAGCAGATGCAAAGCTAGTATCTGCTCACTGTCATGATACCTTGGCCATTAAATACAAAGTAAGCTATGAAATAAGTGCCTTGGAGCACGAAGTAGGCCTTTTATACAATGGATTGTTGGGGTTTTCTTGGGGTGGGGGGCACAAAGCATATGTAACCACAGATTAAACTAATGACTTAGAGTGACGGAGAAGACACGAAGCTACTTTGTATTAGGACTGCCAGTCTTCCATATCAAACGGAATAAAATAATTAAATCTAGATTTAAAATCCTAAAGAAAAGATCATTTTTTATGGTGGGAATCCAGGAGCTCAAGTATGCTGAGAGCTCTGGGTAGGCAGTCACTCCTACTGCCAGCGACTCACTGCTGGCAGACTCCAGAGGAGCCAAAGCAAGGCCCCAGCAGGTCCTGCATCAGGGGCTGTAATTCCAGCTACTACAGGCTGAGGCACGATCACAAGCTCAACGACAGCCTGGGCAACTTAATGAGATCTTGTCTCAAAATAAAGAGTAAAAAGAGGGCTGAGGATGGTAGAGTTGTCGCCTGGCATGCATCAGGCCCTGGTTTCCACCCTTAGTATTGCAAGGAGAAAATAGCGTGGCTCTCTCATACAATTCTTACTCCATATTAAAAAACAAACAAACCGACAAAGAAATATAAAAACATCATTAATGATAATAAATTAATTTGACTTCATGGCTCAATTTGACTGCAAATTATTAGAAAAAAAGGGGGGGATGCTTTGTACTAATTCAATGTCATTCTTAAGATTCCAACGGAATTTGTAATTACCCCTGTGGGATCATCATGGTTGCCATGGATACTAAACACTGGAATGGAAATGTTGAGATTGCCATCCTGATAGTTCACCCATGGAAACCTTAAAAGAAAACAAAGAAGGAGAGTTTCTGTGAGGGATAAAGGCAGTTTCCCCAAAACTTACCTTCCAAGCAGTAATGCACTAGGCAACTACAAACCCTTACCTGCAGACAATCCCCGCTCAGTGCTGGAAATAAACAGTTAAATTATAAAGTATATGAATGTCTAAGAATAGACAGCTGGTAACTGGGAAGTTAAAAGGCTTCTCCTTATAGCTCGGAGGAGGGGAGAAACAATCTGTGCTCACACAGTGGTGCTGCTGCTGGCCTTCTGGAATCCAAACCACCAAGATTCGTAGCCTCTCACCAGCTCCACTGCCTCCCCATCTGCAATGCAGTCCCTGCCCGTCCCTTCTCCCAGCCATCAGGCTCCTCTTCTGACAGTAGGGTGAGCAATTCTATTCTATCTTTCGAAAATTTTACCTATATAGGTATAAAAAAGTACACTTTTCCTTCTTACATATGTTAGCACAATATGGCTTTCTGTCCCTGCTTAACCTACTTTGAACTCTTTCCTCAGAGATCCTGGATACAAAGAGCTCCCCTCAGCTTTCTGCCAGCTGCATGTACGCACGTGTAAGGCTTACTGTATAGAGTGTAAGCAGGTCCCCACCATCTAGACTCTTTCTGGTCTTGTTTTCCAACCTCAGAGATCATTCCTCCCAACCTCAGCAGCATGGTTATTATCAACCCTTTCAATCTACAACAGAGGTTCTGAACTCTGCCACAAGCTCTAATTAGCTAAGGATCTTTTAAGAAATACCATTGCCCATGCCATACTCCAAGAGACTCCCCAGTTGGCATGGAGACTGGACATGAGCACTGAGAACTGTCTGCCTATACCAGTGTCCATGAGCAAACACTTAGGTCAACTCATCTGCTGCCTTACAAATGCGACAGCTCCTCTTGACAGACATTAGTGCTACTCCATTTCTGTGTACGACGCACACTCTTTGCTTACGTTTTAGAAACTAATGGACTTCTTAATCAACAGAAAGAAATATTCACTGGAAATTCAGCCTTAATTTGTGCTGAGCTACAAGTACTCTTCCTTAGTGAACTATGACTTTTAAGTTTGCTCTGGGATTCTTTTAGCATAAATATATTTATTTTTAAGAAGACAAACGTAGCAATCTCTTTTTTTTCTAGCTCCTGGGTTTTGTACATGACCTTTCAAATAAATTCAAACCACAAATAGTTTGTATTATGAAAGAGTGGGTAGCTGATTAGTTAACAGGCCTCTAAGATTTAACATCTTTGTAGGAGTCACTCCCTACAGCAAGGAAAGAGATGCTTTACAAGTCCTCTACCTACAGACTTTCTTTAAAACTTAATAATTTCTTGTACAACTTGCACTGAATAATAGGTATTTCCCCCAAGGTGTGAGTTAGCACCTCCATCAAAGACTAACTGCCTGTGACATGAGGCTCTTTCTGGAGTTCCTAGTCTCTCCCATCTCGCTGCCAGTTCATGAATCACATTTTTAATCACTTATAATCTAATCATGCTACTTGATCTTTCCTTATTTCAGAATCTCCCTTCTGTGTTCGTCCATTTTTCCCATATGACATGAAGAAACAAGAATGGGGAATTAACCAAAATGCAATGGAAAGAGATGAAGTGAAATTAAGTGTTCCCATCAAAAAAGAGTAAAAGATATAAGCATTCAGGAAAAACAATGGCACACTATTGTTTGAAAAAGTAACAGATAAGAATTTCCTGAAATTAAGACAGGTCTGGGAGCACACACTTTGAATCCCAGAACCTGGGAGACAGAGGAAGTCAGATCTCTGTGAGTTCAAATCCAGCCTGGTTTACATAGTGAGATCCAGGCCAGCCAAAGTACATAGTGAGACCCTGTTCCTCCCACTCCCCACCCCCCACCGTCCCAAAAAAAGGAATCAATTTCCTGAAATTGCAAAAAAAGAATTTTTTTTTATTTATTTATTATGTATACAGAAGAGGGTGCTAGATCTCATTACAGATGATTGTGAGCCACCATGTGGGTGCTGGGAATTGAACTCAGGACCTCTGGAAGAACAGTCAATACTCTTAACCTCTGAGCCATCTCTCCAGCCCGCAAAAAAAGAATTCTTAAGTTAAAATGCAGGAGGAAGGGCTGAGGAACACAGCTCCATAGTAAACTGAGCCTCGCATGTGAGGTCTTGAATCAACCTTCAGCACTATTATATGAGCAAATGAAAAGTGAAGTGTATGATAAAGCCCAAGCAGATCAATAGAAGCCAACCCACAGCTAAAGGCTGAAGATGATTAAGAATGCCTCAGTCACCCGAATGCTCTCTTCAGGTCAAAGAATATTCTAAACAGTTTTCTCGCTATCTCAATCTCCATAACTTATGTACCTGGCACAGCATGTAAGTGAATGACTTCGTCATGTGACCATTAAATGACAGAGTCAGGGTCTAAACTGACACCACCCAGAATCCACGCTCTTTTGGGAGTTGGGTAGATAGGCCAGATAGTCCTTGAAGTTGATGCATGCTTACACTGGCTAGGATGCACAATCCTCCTGCCTCTGCCTCCAAAATAATGAGATTACAGGCATGCATAACCACATCCAGGGAATCCATATTCGTAACCACCATGCTTCACTATCTTTCCAGCAATTAAACTGACAACAGATTCAACACCAATTTAAAAAACCAAACTAAGAGCTCATCACTCACATATGCCTAAAGAAAACAACTTCACAGAGAAGGTAGGCATGCACAGTAGTGCACACCTGTGATCACAGCCAGCAGGGACACTGAGGCAGGAAGATGGTGAGTTTGAGGCCAATAGGGATATGCAGAAAGATGCTAGGGAAAATAAGGAGGCTAAGGAAGGAGCTCAGTGACGGAGGTAGTTGAACACATATTCTCCCTCCAGAGGAGGACTTTAATCCTCTTCCACTGAGTGTGGCCTGGACTTAGGGACTCACTTCTAACCAAGAGCAATGGAAAGAAAAATGGCTTTGCACTGGGGAAACCTGAAGACCTTGGCCTCATGATCAAGGTCAATGACACCAGTGACATCAAGCAGAGGTCACGAACATCCATCCTAACACAAGGCTATCAGAAGAGCCCTTCACTTCAGTGATACTCTTCCCTCCAAGCCCACAATCCCTGTCTAGAAGAAATAAGAGAAAAAAGCAAATGAGAGGTAGTCTACAAACACTAACCAGTCAGTACCAGGGTCATCAAAGACAAACTTTGTCTGAAACTTTGATGAAAGAAAGAGAACCCGACACCATGAATAACTAAAAACACATTTCACTAAAATATCCATGGTGTCCTCATAATACTGAAAAGGTAAACAATGGCTTGGGATGGAGATAGAGCTCAGTGGTAGAGTATTTGCTTAATATACACAAGGCCCTGGGTTCCATCCCAACATAGCAGGTTGGAAAAAAGAAACCTTTACTATGTAAGGATTTATTAATCTTTATTAATCTCTAGATTAATATAAGGTCTACATCCAAACTATATCTGGCAGTAGCAACAACAAACTATAAACACATCCAAAAGAAAATGACTGTGAAAAGCTTAAGCCCTTTACTAAGCCTAAAAATGCTCAGTAGCTAGCATACATAAGAAACTTGCACATCATTTCTTCCAGAAACTGCCTCATCTATAGCAAGTTTTAGGAAGTGAAGGGGGAAGGAGTAAGAACATTTAAAAGGAAAGGGACTATGGGAACCTAAGCATGATTTCAAAGGATTCTGAAGTCTGAAGCCAACATTAGCTATTGGCTGGCAGAACTAAAGCTTAGGGCCCTTTTCACTTTATAGAAATAGACTTCAGCAGTTCTAGAAGAAGAAGGAGGAGGAGGAGGAGGCACAAATCATGTCAAAAGATAAAAAATACCACTGGGCAGTGGTGGCGCATGCCTTTGATCCCAGCACTTAAGAGGCAGAGGCAGGCAGATCTCTATGAGTTCAAGGACATCCTGGTCTACATAGAGAGTTCCAGAACATCCAGGGATACACAGAGAAACCTTGTCTAGAAAAAAGAGAAGAGAGAGAGAGAGAAAGAAAGAAAGAAAAGGAAAAATTTAAAAATACCAAGTTTTAAAATAGAAAAAACAAAACAAAACAAACAAAACCCAGAAGATACCAAAGATGATGAAAAAAATCTAAAAATAAACTTCGGCCCAACAGTAGTTGAAAAATACAAATTAATGAAATGATATACAGAAAATTCAAAGAACTGTATTTACTCTGGGAACTGCCTAGAATGGAGGCAACAGAGATAGTAGGTAATGCGTTGGGCGCATCACCATGACACAATCTAGAATCACCTGGGAAGAGTCTCAGCAAAGGGTGGTCTACTGGCTTGTGAACATGTCTGTGGGAAATGTTTGTTTACAGTAACTGATAAGGGAAGCCGCAGCCCACTGTGAGCAGCACCATTCCCTAAGTTTAATCCTGGACTGTATGAGACTAGAGAAAGCTAGCTGAGCAGTAAGCACACATGTATTCATTCTCTCTCTGCTCTTGACTGTGGATGCAAAAAGCTACTTGAAGTTCCTACCTTGGCTTTCCCAAAATGATGGACAGTAACCTGGAATTGTAAGACAAATAAACCCTTTTCTCTTAAAGTTGCTTTGTCAGTATTTTGTCACATAAATAAGAAACAAAACACAGACATGTATACTATACAGAAATCATACCCAAGAAAACCTTCCCTCAAATGTAAGTGTACTTACCTACTAAAACCAAAGTTGACTGACTGATCACTGATGATCTCAAACTGTACAGGGCGATCACCCATACAGTACTTCCTAAGCAACTCCAAGCAGCTGTGCAGGGTTTTCCTCGAGGGCTTGTTTTCATGGAAAAGATCACCACCTAACAAAATAAAATCCACCTAATCAACAGAAAACAGTGTTAAAACTGGTAAGTTTAAGGTAAAAATTGTTTAAAGTACAGAAGAGATAGATTTCACAGCCTGATGTGATCACTTAAGGCTTCTACTTTAAGAAACCAGTCTTAGCAACATAGTGACATGAGATTACTGGTTCCATTTTAAAATGCCACAGATGACATACACAGTAGGCCCTAGGTTCAATCATAGCACAAAAGAATGGAGCTAGACAGAAAGGAACAAAGATTGCTAGTTTTTAATTATTCAGAAGACAAGGAAACAGATCGCTATGGCTGCACTAGTCAAAGGAACTTTAGTATATCAGCTTCGGGGTCAATGAGACTCCCAAAACATAGGGTGGAAAGAAACTGAGGAACACATCCAACATCAACCACTGGCCTCTACATGCACACATGAACACATGTACTCATATACCAAGATGCAATGCACTCTGAAGCACACAAACACACACACACACACACACACACACACACACACACACACACACACACACAGCTTTAAAATATCAAGGAATGCCAGGCAGTGGTGTCGTATGCCTTTAATACCAGCACTCGGGAGGCAGAGGCAGGCAGATCTCTAAGTTCAAGGCCAGTCTGGTCTGTATAAAGAATTCTATGACATCCAGAGCTACATAAAGAAACCCTGTCTTGAGGGTACGGGGGATCAAGGAACAAAGGAATAAAATGAGAATAGCTGGATGACAAGGGTCCATATAAAGAGAACTTAAATGTCAAGAATTTAGATTTCAAAAATAAATAGTAAATACAGTAAAAGAAAAAATCCTGAAAGACAAATATGCATTTGGAAGATCCAGCATGAGAGAGTGTGGAGAGAAGCGAATCAGGCAACGGGGTAGAAATGAACAAAGCAGAAACAGCCAGGCTCAGGGGAGAGGTGTTTTCAGAGCCAGTTACCAAAGAGCATGCTCAGGGTTCTGTGGAAAGGAACAGGCCTCCTCAAGTTTCTCTGCCCTAAAGGAAAGGCCCCAGCTTAATATAACATAAAAACAGCATATTCAGCCAATTTCTAAGGGTTCTACAGCTTCCTATATCCTCTCAAGGTGCAAGTTATGGAGTTCGAATCCACTGGGAAAGACCAAAGACTTAATCTACACTTAGATTAAAACTAAATGAACTTCTCACTGCTAGCAGGACAACAGCCTTAGAACCAAATCAAGAGCATGTCACACCATAAAGGGCCAGAGGAAGGGTATTTAAAGGTGGGCATCACAATCATTTCGCTTCAATGGAATCCAAAGCTGCCTGGGAAAACTGCTTTACCCCCTTCACTGTCTTTCACTCCCGTTACACAGGATAGAGGACACTGCTTTGTGCCCTTCCCCACAATGATAAGCCGTTTACAAAAGCCAGAGCAAGCACCTAATTATCTCCTAGCAGGCACACACAGCATTCCTTCATTCTTATCCCACAACTGTCATATCATTTTAGGGAGGATCCTAGGAGCCCCTGGGAATTTTAGGGCAAAGACCAACAGCTACTAAGGGGTGACTGGTACAGAGTTAAATTTCTTAGGCATCACACAAGAACACATTACTAAGCAACAGACTTTACTGTCATAGAATTTCTCCCATAGGGGAACAAAATAAGTGATATGTAAACAATAAAGTAATTTCATGAGGCCATAAAAAAAAGACAGCATAATGCCACAGAGCACTTGGAGGTATGAAAGAAAATCTCTTCAAAAAGGTAAAATATGGTTGCACATGGTGACAAGTGCCTATAACCCAGCATTTAGGAGGTGGAGGACCAGAATTTCAAGGTTGCAGCCAGCTACAGTATGAGTTCAAAGGCAACATGGACCATGAGACTACCTCAATAAATCCCCATCCCACACACCCCCAAAAGTAAAATGTGAAGTGAGATGTCAACCCTGCCCAAAGCCAGGTGGTAAATCAGAAAAGTTGACTTATAAGGTCATAGAGAAGAACCCACTGGTGTGGACCAGGCAGAGCAACCAGAAACCTGAGCCCTGAGAGGACCAAGGTCAAGTTATAAGGATCCAGACTCCTAGCAGGAACCAGGTAGCATACAATATAAGAATCCAGAGCCCTGGCAGGACCAAGGTCAAGGCATAGACTTGTATTTGAGTCTGAATCTAGATTCAAATGAAGGCTTCTGAGAAGGTTTTGAGCACAGTGACAGGGTCTGACTGAGGATGACATTTGCTTTGGCTATGATGCTGAATACACTCAGGAGGCAAGTGTGAAGCAGAAAGACCAACTGGAGTGACTGGAAGCTATGCTGGTATTGTTATGGGCTGGACAGGACAGTGAGGAGGGCTGTAGAACTAACTGCAGGGACACCAGAGGTCTCACACATAAGCTGAAGGGAACTGCTGGGGAGGCAGGGCACCGGTATGTTTATTCTCCTGCTCCCTCCTGGGCTCTGTGGACAGGCATCGGCCTGTTGGGACGCCCCACACGGCAATCTCCAACTCCATCCTGGCGTCACGTCAGAGTTCCACACCTTCCCACACGACAGATTCTCCTTCAGTTAGGTGGTTTTTAGCAATGCCACCATCATCTGCCCAGGTTCAACAGACTTGACTCATTTTCAAATCCTGAGAGTGAATGTATGTACACCTTCTCTTTGTAATTTCTCTCATATTTACTTTCTCTTTTCTACCCCAATACCACCAGTTCTGGGGTTTTTTTGTTTGTTTGTTTGTTTGGACCAAGCTCTGACCTTCATTATTTAAAAAAGCTGCATATTTATTTTACTTTCTGACTCTGTGCTTGTGCCTTCAACAGTTTTCTGCTCCTCAATAAGGAAGCCCACTTGATCCTGTCACAGACACACTTGGCACACATGGACCCACTGTAGGCCCTGCGGACATGCGTCATCTTAGACAACCTCATAAGGACTTTCGGTCTCACAGCACGAACCCCTCGAAGCCTGCCTGGACACACACCGCATGCGGATTTAGGTGCTTTCCAACCTTCTTGGTATAAAGGTAAACAATCCTCTTGCCAGGGGTCTGAGACAGCCTAGTTTTGTTAGAGGCTGTGTTGTAGGAAAGCCTACGGTGAATACCATCAGTTTTTAAAAGCATTAAAATGCTCTCCAATATCTGCTGCAACACCAGGCCACCAGAAGACATTCTACTGCACAGGGCACAAACTGAGTCTAACATTTGCAGCTCTCCTCATTAATACAGTTCAAATACTCTCAGTTCCAGTCTTTCAGCATTTTTTTTTAAATACAGGGTCTCAATCATATAGTTTAAGCTGGCCTCAAAGTCACTTCCTGTCTCCACCCCCTCATGGTGGGATTAAGGTATGCCACAACACTCAAGTTTTATGTAGTGCTGGGGATCAAACCCAGGGTCTTGTGCATGGCACATAAGTACTCTACCAACTGAGCTACATTCTCAGGCCCACAGGCAAGCCATGGCCTAACATACTCCATGTTGTCTTACACCTATGCCTTCATTTCTGCTTCACACTGAACGTCCACTCTGTGTCACCCAGCATTAAAGACTGCAATTCCTTCAACACATGTTAAATGTCACCTCCTCAATTAAGCTCATGTGACTAGTCTCATCTAAACACCAATCTCCTCTACCTCTGAAGTCCCAGGAAATGGTGCTTCAGATGGCCTTTCCACAAATAACCCTGTGCTTGAATGTTTGGGATTTTTTTGTCTCACATTCCAGTTGGCTATCTATTCTTTGAAAACTAACAGCCACCTTTTTATTTCAGATAGAAATCGCAACAGGTTAGTGTATCATTAAAGACCTTATGTTTCTAAATTTGAAGGCTATTTGTCAAGGCAGTTTCTGCTCCAATTATGAACACAAAGTACTCAAAATTTTAACTGGGCTTTTAGTACATTGATATTTAGCCAGGAAATGTGACTGCCTGAGATTATACAATTAACTCTAACTTAATGGTAAAGAGCCTGTTAGCCAAGGAAGTACAGTAGAGTACACACAAATGTAACCCCAGCTCACTTCATTTTCCAGGGCAAGTCTTAAAATTTCATCAAGTGTCACAAATGTATCATTTCCTCTAACTGCATCTTTCTCCATAAATCCAAGATGAATATCAGTAGCAACCAGGATTTTAAATGTGTCTTCATCATCACTGTATAAAAAAACAAAATTCAATGCAATTCATTAAAAGGATATTCAAGCAAATGGAGACCTAAACATAAAATAAATAATAGCAATTGTAAAGCAAAATCATTTTTCTAGCCTCAGACTTGGCATGAAAATTTGCAGTACTCAACAGATCTTTAACATCACAGTTTTCCATTCGGAATTCAATACAGAGCAGATATGAATGACATTTCTAAGTGTTCCCTGTCTGCTCTGAAAACTCATAGCCTTGTTATAACCAGTTTTATACACCCTCAGCTCTGTTCCCTACTTTACTACACAAAAACCCAAAGGCTTTGCTCCCTCATTATCTGACTTACACTTTTCTGGGAAAGTCATTTAAAAGTCTTCCTCTCAGTTTAAGAGTAGATTTTATACTAAAATACTAGTTGCTTACATCCCAAACCCAGAAAACATCTGCCTGACTCTGCTCTCTACACAGTTTTTCAATAATTTCACCAAGTAACAAAATAGAGTTGTTTAAATCCAAACACAGTTTGATAAAGGTATTTTCATGTGAACCAGTAGCTTAACTGTTACTACTCTCTCTTAACCGTTACATCACTCACTAAACCTAGGGTTAAGTTTAATTTTTTAAGATACTTTCATATCTAAGATCTCATCTCAGTCCCCACAAGGAAAGAGGCAGGCATGGTCACTATCTCTGAAGAAGAAAAAGGCCAGACACGGAGATAACTCATTAACCACACAACTAGTAGCAGAAACAAGACTAAAGGGAATTAAAATGTAGGCTATCTCCACTGAGTTATCAAGCATTCAAAATACAACTCCACGACTCAGAAGCGTCAACAGTTGTGTGCCTGAGTCCTGGCTGTTCCACAAACTTCTCAGCTCACACTGCTACACTCTTCCTGAGTATGTGCATTTTCACATAAATTCTCTCAATTATTATAGTTATACAAATGAAAAACAAAACAAGGCAAGCCCTGAGAATTGCTGACTTCCTAACAACACACAGCCAGTTTTGACCAAGAACTTGAAACCAGAGGGGAAGATCCCATCCATGTGCAAGCTCCTCCCCCGAAACTTAACTTCTATAGTCCTTTGATCTATTTCCATTTCATTCAAATTAATTCCAACTTACTCAGTACTACAGCAACTTACTCTAAAAGACTATTTATAGACTCAGCAATTTAAACAAAGCATAAGAGCATGAGTTTTCCTGCACGGCCATGTAATAAACTACTGCAACACACTCCTCTAACAGCTCCATATTATCTTTTTGATAATAAGCACACAATATGCTCTTTTAAGCAAGCCAGGCATGTTTTTGGTGATACTCTGTTCATTATTAAGTTCTGTGCTGTTTTTGTTAAAGTGCCAAGTTTTCTCTTAAGGTCATCACAGTTAATATGTCAGGCTTACAGTGGATCTGTGGGACTCATTTTTATGGTAGAGCTCCTCTGAGGCCAGGTTCCTCTCCAAGTCCCCTGGGGTCCTGTGTTCAGGTATGTCAGAAAAGCCACCCGATTCCAAATTCTAAAAATAAATATTAAAATACACATTTTATAAAGGTTGCATGTATTTCACTAACGTGAGTTCAGCTGCGGGGTAAACCTCTTAAATAAGCACTGGCAATTTTGAGAAAGACTAGTTTTCATCTTCAACGCTTACTATAATTGTTTCATAACCTAAGACTAAGAGAAAGTCATTATCATGACTACTTCTCTCCTGTTTTCCTCATGAGATTGATGTGTAGTAAATCCCTGGACAGAGAGGTTCAAACGTCACTTTACGTGCATAAATTTAAGCTGCAATTACACGGGGCTTTGGAGGAGAGGCCACCACATACACTTAACATTAATAGGGCTTTTATGGGGCAGCCCACATTTAAAGCTAGAATAAATAACCGAACACGTGGTCTGCGTGGAGCAGCTCTCAGAGCCAAGGTGACAGCTCGGAGTGGTCACGGCGAAGCCGGCGCTGCCACCACAGACGACCCTGCAGCCGCGGGACTCCGGGCCGGAACGCAGAGCCCGCAGCCCTCCCGGTCCACCCGGTCCACCCGGCCCTTCTTCCTCAACGGCCCCACGCACTCGGGGCTTCCGCCGTGAGCCCCCACTCAAACACCGGAACGAGGCCTAAGTTACCCCAGCCTGGACTCATCAGAGCCCACCGGCGAGACCCCAGGTCGTCTCCAGCTCGGAAAACAAGGGCGGGAGTCACCACAACAAGAACACCGCAAGCAGAAACCTGAATTAGGCGCGGGAGAGCCGCGTCCGTCCTTCTCGCGAGATCCATTGATGACGTCGGCGGCACAGGTCTTCCTTAGTCTCTCATTGGCTCCAGAATGGCTCCTCCCCCTTAAGGAGCCAATCACAGGCAGCAGAGGGGCGAACCCGGAAACGATGTTCCCTGCGAGGTTCTCTCTGTGGAAGGTGAGGCGGGTGTCCGGAGCGGCGGGGCGGGCAGGCATGGGTGGCGGGCCACGTCGGAGGTAGCACCGAGGCAGCCTCTTCCATTTGGGATTCGGAAGCCCTCTCCCGCTAGACGAAAGGCCTTTCTTCCCTGCTTCCCCTAACGATCGCCCCAGAATCCCCGCCTCACCATCTTTGCCTTGCTTGCTTTGTGTGCTGAGAGAACCGTGAGGAGAGTGCAGTAAAAATAATGTGGCACTTTGAACTAGATCAGACCCCAGCAGGTCCTGGTGGACCGCAACTTGTCTTAAACTGTCAGAATCTCAGCGCAGTCCTCCGAAATGGGGCGTGGGGCTCCATCTCACCGAGATGAGAATCGGAACAGTTCGTATCTCTGAAAATGTAGGGAACACCCTATTCCTTCATAATAGTGTGCATCAAGTTTTATACCTTGAATCAGGACAGACATCTGGATTTTATTTTTAAATTAAATATACCAAAATGATTATATATAGCTTACATCTGAAACAGTAAAGTCAGAATCAGTATGAGTTTTCATAAGGAAAGCTGGGGGAAGGGGACTGAAACCTGTGCTGTTATATGGTGGTAATGACATGTTAAACGTTTAATGAACTGACCTGACATATGGTTACTTATTAGAAAATAGTTTAAGATGAAAGGACATGAAAACTGCAAGAAAATAGTTCGGATAGCTCTTTTAAAATATGAGTCTGGTCAAGACCTTACAAACCCCTTAGTGGAATTGAACATTTTACAATACAGTTACAGGCCCTAAGAAGATACAGTCATGATTTTGGTGTTCTTGTCACTAGCAATGAAGCTTACTAGGACAACAGAATGTTAAACACATGAAATGAAGTAGAAAAAAAAAAATCATGAGGAGTATGTATAACTGACTAGTTCCTGTTAGAGGCCATTCAAAGCAAAATTAAATGATAGGTCTTAAGTTCAATGATACAAGTAGTTCTTAATGCAAGTTCCATACAAATGGCACAGAAATCTAAGTTGAAGATGGTGTATCCTCAAAACGTTAATGGCAGAAAAATATAAGACATAGCACCTCAGAGAACAAACATTAGAGAAATCTTAATTGGCTCAACAGACAATGAAAGTGGTAACATTTGAAAATAGCAAAGTTCAACAAATATAGATAAGAGACTGATAAATAGTTTGCACCGTAACTTCTCATTTTCTTTAATTGAAGTTTATATTCTGGGTAACTCTTTAAGCTGATGTCAATTTCTGAATTAATGTGGCAGGCTAGCAGAGTAATCATCTCTGCCCGCAGGAGCACTTACATCTTTTAGGACCGGGTGAATTATGACCCTCCTGTGTACTCACTGTACCTGGACTCCATCCATCTTAACATACCTAAATTAATAGAGTCAAATTTAGATAGTTGTAACCACTTAGTAGAAGAAAACATTTTTTTTAAAAAAAAGATAAAGACTGTAAATGATCATAAATAACAGAAATTTCTGAGGTCCAGTATTTAGTACATCTAATGGGTATTATGAGAAAGCACCAGAGTTATGACAGCGTTTATTTGTCTTGTCTGCAAGGTTGGTATCCATGTTGATGATGCCTAGTTAACAATGTCTAACACTTACGTTTGTGTTTTCAGATTGGAACGAGTCAAACAATGCAGACATAATTTATCTCAAGAAAGACTGCCATAGTGCTTGAAATGCTTTTTATTTAGAATAGTAGCAAAAATGGAAAAAGAAAAAGTAAGGGATGGTGAAAAACCAGACCCAGAAAACTCTTTGGACTTTTCTGAACAGTTTAATCAGCTTGAATTGTTGGAAACCCATGGACACCTGATTCCTACTGGTACTCAGAGTCTCTGGATAGGCGATTCTGATGAAGATGAGGAGCAAGAGGAA